TCCCAAGATTCTATAGGATGGTGTTACAGCACTTAAAGTGGTGTCAAATTGCATTATTTCTACAGCACAGATGCACCCAAAGACATGTTTGTCAATCTTCTCTCTCCAGTTAAATAAACAGAGCATACATATGGACAGGAAGCTGAGGAGGGAGGTCTATAGATGAATGACATTAATGTTAAGGTAAAGGCCAAGGACATCACTCATGTGACAAAATTTCTATGTTTATCTACAGTGCATCTGATTAAATTGGATTATAGTCCATGAAAGCTGAAAGTATTTTTAAAATTCTCTTTGATTCATATAGATGCATATAGATATGATTCCTTATTTTCCAGTACTGTTAACTCACATAGAACATGGCACTGTGTGAAGGATTGAATGTGAATAATATAATCAATATTTATTGTAATGTCCTTTAAAAAAAAGTAAAACATAACTAAAGTCCAAAACACACTGCAGAAATAATTCAGTTTGACACCACTTTAACTGCTCTGGCTCAATGCTAGGGAATTCTGGGAACTGTAGCTTTGTGAGACATTTAGCCTTCTCTGTCACTGAGCCAGGGCAGTTAAAGCTGGATTATTTCTGCATGGTATTTTGGACCTCAGTTGTTGTAAGTAAAAGTATGATCTATTCTCTGTTCATCATATTGTGTATTATTATTAGTATTATTATTACTATTATTATTATTATTATTGTGTCCCTTCATTTTAGTTCAGAGATAATGAAAAATACTCTACTATGCATGAAAAATCAACATATATGAGTAATACCTAATTTCCCTTTGCATCACCACAGTCATGTGCTTTCATTAAGTCTGAATCATAAGACCACTATTGTGTGCCTAGAAAAAGTCATTAATGGCATATCCAATTTAAATTGGTACAACTGAATTATTAATTAATCATGGTGTAATGTTTGGGGTTTTAATCAGGTTTTAATTGGAGCTGCCCCTTGTGAAAAAGTGTTCATCCCTGAATCAAGGGATGAATAATGTATGCCTATTTCTTTCCTTGTTTATTTACAGATATATTTTAAGATTTGTGTCCTTTAGATTAGAAATCTTTAGCTCTGAATTTTCAGATTGCAGGCTTTTTTAAAAAATTAACTCAACCTGTTATACAGGTATTTAAATTTTAAAAAAATCTAGTCTACAAATGTATTTCTTCTATCCACTTGAGTCAGATCGTATGTCAGCTCACGATTTTTTAAAAGCCCATGAATCTATTAAGAAATCCTTCATCTGCGACCTGATGGTGCTTTGCAGAGCTCTGAGAAAGGTTGCATGAAAAGACAACACTTCTTTAAAATGCTATATATGATATATAATTTTCAGAGAGATCCTATTCCTGTTCCTAATTAGTAAAGCAAAACAAAAGAAAAAAATAACAACGAGTGGAAAAAGCATGTAGAGAGATCTTGTAGCACCTTTGAGACAAACAGAAATAAATAAATTGGCAGCAGGAGCTTTCCTAGACTTCAGTTTGCTTCGAAAACTCTGCTGATTCTGCCTTGCCAGCAAAAAAGGCAGATCCAAAGAAGGCAAGGTCGTGGATGGAAGAACAGGTTTCTCTAATGAGGTTTTGATTCAGTAAAACTGGGATCACTATCTTCTGTTTAACCCGGGACTGAATGAGCTCGTAAAGGAGAGCATTTTCTGACATATGCCTAAATAGATGTGTTAACTAGGACTCTTTCTTCTTCTCTGTTGTGTAAATGGGTGGCATTAGACGAAAATGACTGCAATTAAGAGCCCGTTAAATCTCACTGGCTGAAAGTTACTCTGAAACTGAGCGAGTCTTTGCAAGATCCAGCAAGATCCTTGCTTGAAAGGCACAAATAACCACACACAGAGAGGCAAACAGACCACACTGTTCTGGATTCCCATTCCCCTCGCCTTGGTCTAATCTGCACTAATCCAGTTTGACAACACTGTAACTGCCTTGGCTCAGTGCTATGGGATCCTGGGATTTGTCATAGAATCATAGAATCCTAGAGTTGGAAAAGACTATCAAGGGCCATCCAGTCCAACCCCATTCTGCCATGCAGGAACTCAAAATCAAAGCATCCCCGACAGATGGCCATCCAGCCTCTTTTTAAAGACCTCTGAAGAAGGAGACTCCAGTTTGTCATTTGTTGTGGCACCAGAGCTCTCTGAAAGAGAAGGCTAAATAGCTCACAAAACTACAAATCTCAGAATTCCATAGCACTGAGCCAGGGCAGTTAAACCAACAAAACTGAATTAATTCTGTAGTGTAGATTATACCTCATCTCATCAAAGAAATCGGCTTCCAAATCAACACGCCTTTCTCCTCCTGGCCACTCTTTCCTTCAGGTCCATCCTCCAGAGCAAGGCAGCGGAAAAACTCTTCTGGGCGGTGGCTTTCGAGGGAGCTATCCAGGGTCCTGAATTTATTTGCGGTGACTGAGCTCAGCACCTGGCCTCGCTCCTTCAAATCATGAACCAAAACCTAGAGTAGATGCAGCACCCCACTGACGTGGAAGCCACCTGTTGTCAGGTAGAATTGTGTTTCCTGCACAACATACTTTGCTCTGTGATTGGCTCTCTTGCTTATTAAAGTCCATGGACTTCCCAGGGACATGAGATTGAACATGAGACTATGAGCCTTTGCAGACTGCCAGAAATAGTGCACATTAAATTGAGGCACTGCCCTGGCTCAGTGCTAGGGAGTCATGGGAATTGTATTTTTTTCTGAGACACTGAGCCTTCTCTGTCAGAGAGCTCTGGTGCCACAGTTCCCATGATTCCCTAGCACTGAGCCAGGGCAGTGCCTCAATTTAATGTGCACTATTTCTAGCAGTCTGCAAAGGCCTTATGGGAAGCATGTGTTCAGCCAAGTTCTGGTCTTCTCCACAAGTGCAAAGATATAGAAGAATTGCCCGGAGTAGTAGTTGCAGTGATGGTCTGCGACTGGAGAAGCTTTTGTCTTGTTTTCCTTCAAATCCCGTCTTAATCATGAAGGTCACTGGGTGACCTTGGGCCAGTTCGCCATCTCTCAGTCTGACCTATCTGACTAGGTTTCGACTCTGAAAATGGGGAAGATGGGCTTGTAGCATCCTTTTCTTCAAGACAAAATGTAAATGCAACCAACCATTTTTTTTTCCTTAGGAAGATTTGTTCAGAGGAGGTTTGCCATTGCCTTCCCCTGAGGCTGGGAGTGTGTGACTTGCCCAAGGTCTCCCAGCAGACCTCATGGCCGATATGGGAATCAAACCCTGGTTTCTAGAGCCTTAGCCCAACACTCGGACCACTAGGCCACATTGAGTCCCTCCAGATGATAGATCCCTTCAAGAAAAATAGAGTCTTCTTAGTACGAATTTCTCCTTAGTAGAGCAGGGGCAAAAACAATTTCCCCTGTGATTCCTTTAGCCAGGTGTTTTCAGACTGGTCTTGAATCTTGTAATCTGGATGATAATCTGTTATCAAGCAGGCAGAATTTTTACTTGCTGGTCGATGCCTGGTTGGTGATTGAGGGTTGGTGAGTGGGATCTGGTAGAACTGGAAGAACCTTGTTGTGTTCCTTCAAATTGATTGCGATTTAGCGTGATCCTAAGGTCACAGGATCCTTCCTTTGAGGATGAAATCGGTTTCACTTACTTTGAGAAAAGTCGAATCCTGGTCTCCCAGGATCCTAGTTAAGCCTCTCAAATTCAAACCCCTCCCCAGCCAAAATCGGACCTCCCACTGGCCTGGAGTAAAAATGGGATGGGTACATTATTTTAGAGAGATTTCCAGATCTAGTGGAGGGGTTTTAAAGCAAGCCAGTCAACTCCCATCAGCCCCAGCTAGTCTAGGGCCTTTACAGACTGCCAGAAATAATCCATCTTGAGACCACTTTAACCGTCCTGGCTCAATGCTAGGGAATCATGGGAACTGTAGTTTTTTCTGAGACATTGAGCCTTCTCTGTCAGAGAGCTCTGGTGCCACAATACACTACAGTTCCCATGATTCTCTAGCACTGCGCCAAGGTAGTTAAAGTGGTCTCAAACTGGATTATTTCTGGCAGTCTGACAACGATTAGGAATTAGGATAAGTGCTGTTGCCTAACTCCTAGGAGATGGCTGCTGTCAAGGTGTGGGGTCTAGGAGGCATTCAGCTTCTAGACCACAAAGAAGAATGGACTATTCACCGGTTTATGGAGGCTGTTGTTAATCATGAGTGTCTTCAAGTTGTTTCCCACGTTTCATCCTAAGGCGATTTTACCATGGGATTTTCTTGGCAGGATGTGTTCAGAGGGCTTTGCCTTCCTCTGAGACAGAGATTTGGGAGGTTATTCCTTCCATCCAGTTGTATCCTAAACTGCTTCTTAAAGGAAATATTATTGTTGTGAATTGGAAGTTTTCCTTTTGCTTCCATCCTTTTGGGTGTTGTCATTAGCAGAAGAATCTCTCTCCTCGTCACAAATACCAGTCTCAGCCATTATGGTTGCATCCGCACTGCAGAAATAATCCGGTTTGACACCTCTTTAACGGCTATGGCTCCACGCGATGAAATTGTGGCTCCCCTCTGATGCTACAAAAAAACAAAAACAAAACAAAAAAACAAAACCCTACACTTCCCAGAATTCCATTGCATGAAGCTATGGCCGTTAAAGCAGTGTCAAACCGAATTATTTCTGAAGTGCGGATGCAGTCTCAGGCTCATGTAAAACTGGAGATGTATAGCTGAAGAGGGATTACGCCCTTGTTTTCAGGGCCTTGAAATGGCAATCAAACCTTGGACTCGATGGGGTACAGCTCCAGCCAGTATAATGGGTCTTATTTCCAATAAATGCGGTGGGTGGCTGGGCCGTGTAAACCCACTAGGTAACCTTGGGCAAGTCACACGCTCTCAGCCTCAGAAGATGGCAATGGCAATGGCAAATCCCCTCTGAAGAAAACTTGCCAAGAAAAACCCGTGATAGGGTCGCTATACATTGGAGACGACTGAAAGGCACACAACAACAGCAATAACAAAAATATAGGCCATCATGGCCGCCATCATGGCCTAGTGGTTAGAGTGTCGGACTGCGACTCTGGAAACCAGGGTTCTAATCCTCGCTTGGCCATGATCTTGGGCAAGTCACACTGTCTCAGCCTCACCCCCTTTGATGAAACTTGCCAAGGAAACCCTATGACAGGATCGCCTTAGGGTCGCCATAAACTGTAAACGACTTGAAGGCACATAACACACACATCTCCAGGGGATCCGGCAAGTTTAGGTTGGTATTCACAAGGGCAAGTAAAGACAGGATCTGTAGTCTTCATTGCCAAGACGGTCCAGAAATAGAGCGGGTATTACATATCTACCCACACTCTCACCCTACAATGGAGTGTAGACCAGTAGACCAGCTTGGTTCTGACAGAGATGTCTCACTAAATGTCCCACCAAACTACACTTCCCAGAATTCCCTAGCATTGAGCCATGACAGTTAAAGCAGTCTCAAACTGGATTATATCTTCAGTGTGTTTTAAGACTCTGAGAGATCAAGGCTGAAATCCTCGCTGGTGACCATGTGCAAATCACACTCTCTCAGCCTTAAAGAAAGCTGCTGCTGCTGTTGTTAATGTTGTTGTTATAATTATTATCATTATTATTTCTTACCCGCCTCTCTCTCCCCGTGGCTCAAGGCGGGGTACAGCGACAGATTAAAATACAACACATACCATCCCTTTAGAAATACAATAACATCGGTTGAAACACCTAAACCAGTTAAAACACATGGGATCAGTTCTTTTTAAACAACAACAAATATACTACTACAGCATATAATCAGTCCATTGTGTGACTTTTATACTTTAAATTGGTAATTTAATAATAATCCAGATAGGCAAGCTGGAGGAGCCTAGTCTTTAATGCTGCTTTTAAATTCAGAAAGCGTATTCAGCTCTCCAATCTCTTTCGGCAGGTCATTCCACAATCTAAGGGCGTCTGAAGAAAAAAGTGCCTTGGGTCCCTTCTGGGAGAAAGGCGACATACAAATGAAGCAAGCAAGCCAGCAAGTAAGGGGGGTTGCAGACTGCCAGACATAGTGCAAATTGAGTCCACTTTAAGGGTTAGGGTTAGTGCCAGGGAATCATGGGAATTGGTTTTGTTTTTTTCTGAGACATTGAGCCTTCTCTGTCAGAGAGCTCTGGTGCCACAATAAACTACAGTTCCCATGATTCCCTAACCTTAACCCTAACCCTTAAAGTGGACTCAATTTGCACTATTTCTGGCAGTCTGCAACCCCCCTAAATCCTCTGGCTGACGGTTGTCAACCTTCAATGGCACACCTCCTCGGAGTAAAATCCTGCCAAACCAACCCTATGGAAGGGTGACCATAAATAGGAGCGACTGGAAACCTCTGACAGGCAACAAGGATGACAGGCAAGCCCTTGAGAGACCCCTGTCTTTTAAGTACACTCCCCTTCGGGAATGCTTGTGGCTCTTCTGTGTGTGTGTGTGTGTGTGTGTGTGTGTGTGTAGAACTGCGGCAGTGGTGGAGCATTGTATGGCACACAAAACAATCCCGACACCTCTTCATCTGTATGCAAGGGGATCTTGTAGGACCTTTGAGACTAGCTGAAAGAAAGAAGCTGGCAGCATATGAGCTTTCCGAGATTTGAGCCTCCTTCCTCAGATGTTTAAGGTGGAGTGGAGAGCCCACGGACAGACCTACGTCCCTGGCGTCCCCGCTGCACCCTATTAGGGTGACCAGGTGTCCTAACTACAAAGGAGGACATGGTCCAACAAAATGTAGAACATTCCAGGAATAGGTAGGATGTTCCCCAACGAAAGCTAAAAAGACGCATAGAAATGTAAACCCATGCTCATGCTCAAAATGGAGGACATTCTGAAATTCCTTCTGGACAGAAGGTTGAAAGGGAGGACGTGTCCTGGAAAAGGAGGACGTGTCTGGTCACCCTGCACCCCATGCCTTTGAGGAAGTAGGCTCAAATCTAGGAAAGCGCCTGCTACCAGCTTCCGTCTTTCAAAGGTGCTACAAGATCCCTTTGCATACGGATTCGCTCTGGGGCCAGAACAAAGTGCCATTCCCAGAATTCCACAGCAGGGAGCCATAGCAGTTAAAGTGGTGTCAAACCGGATTATTGGTGCAGTATGGATGACAAAAGGAGGGGCACTAGGACCTTCCTTTTCCCTGCCAATGCATCCTGAGCCCTCAAGGCTCCGAGGAGCCAATTAACAGGTAGACCGGGGACCCCCTCCAGGGATGGGGGGCTTTGAGCCCTTCTTCCCCCGACGCCATAGAAACCGAGCCTCCAGACCCTTTGGGTCTCCTTCCAAAGAGGCACCTCCATTCACTCCTTTCCCGGCTCCATTCATTGCCGCCGCTTTGAATCGGAGAGACAAGAGAGAGAGAGAGAGAGAAAGTCTCTCTTTGTGCGTTTTCCCCCCTTTTAACAGAAAGGATCATTAAGAATAAAGTACTCAATTCGGCGCCAGTGGTTCTCTCAGGAAACCCTCCTGGAATAACCAGTGTTCATCATCATCATCATTATCATTATCATTTAAAAAAAATTTTTGGACTAAATAGCTGGATTAGTAGGTTTCAGGATAAAAGAAAAGGGAAGGAAGCGGGAATTATTATTATTATTATTATTATTATTATTATTAATTTATTTATTTATTTCCTGTCCCCTCTCAAGGGTCGAGGCCTCAAAATACAAACCACCATTATAAAAACACACAAACCCCCACACAGTTTTAAAAAAAAATACTATAAAAGCATTAAAATACACTCCTAGAAGCACATATACAAATAAAAACTCCACGATGTGCACGCAGAAAGAGCACACGTGCCTATAAAATTGTCCAAAATTGGCACGAAACCATCTGCGAAAAAGGAAGCAGCTCGTCGGAAATCGGCCTCAAAGTTTCCTTCCTACCCCTCTTTCCTTTCCCAGTTTTTCCCAGGTTTTGAATGCAGTTTTGATGCAGGTTTTTTTTTTTTAATGCACTACTCTACTTTAATGCACTACCCAGGCTGTAAGAAGGGAGGAAAGCCCTATGCAATGCTTTGCAGCTCCAAAGAAGGGAACACCATTATACATACACACATTATTCACACAAACACAGGGCTATTTTCTTTGAGGCGTCCATACATACAAATCGTAGGCGATTTTTAATATATGAACCAAAAAAAAACCAACAACATCTGAAAATCACCAGCCTTTTCATCACAGAGGAGAGGTTCTTTGTGCCAAGAGCCAAGATAGACATACAATACCATAAGCGACAGAAAGAGTACTATCAATATATTGTGATCACTCGCAGTTAAGAGGAACCATTTTAGTCAAAGACAGTGTATGACTGTGGGCTGTTGCTGTTGTTGGTGTGGCTTTCACTCACCCGCGATCAAAATGCCTTTCCTAAATCAGCGGAACGGAAAGGAATGGATTTCAACCGCAGGTTTTCTATTTGGTTGCGAAGCGCCTGGCGCGCTCTAGCGGGAAAGGCGGAGCGGAACCGAGAATCACTGAGAATAAGAGCTAAACAAAGGGCGATCCTTTGAAACTTGGATCGACGTCTGGAGACTTCAGCGAAGCTAAAGGCACTGGCAGCTTAGGGCACTGGGAGACTAGGGATCCAATCCCGGATTGGCCATGGAAACCCACCTTGGGCAAGTCACACTCTCTCAGCCTCAGAGGATGGGAATGGCAAACCCCTACTGAAGACACAACAACTACACCAGGGGTAGGCAACCTTTCCCCTTTAAGGGCCGAGGGACTTCAGCTCCCAGAATCCCAGGAGCTATTGGCCAACATTGGACTATTGGCCAACATGGCTGAGGCTTCTGGGAGCTGAAGTCCCTCTGCCCTTAAAGGGGAAAGGTTGCCTACCCCTGAACTACACTATAACAAAGAAGAGAGGCGGTAACCTTCTATAGGCTTCCTTGGGCGTAAGCCCTACTGAAGCCAAGGGAACCTGGTTATGTTTGCAAGGGGTCGTCTGTCCTGCGCTTGAAAAGGGATGCAACACACCAGCTCCAGCATTGATTTCCAGCTGGATGAAAGCTGCGCTTGCAACTATTTATTCATTGCACAAAACCGGCCATTCCTACCAAAGGCCCGAGAGCTCCGCTGTTTTTGCCGCCTGCAATTCCTATGCAGCAAAAGAGCAACGCCAGGGAGTGGGGAAAACCAAGAGTGCTAGGCCTTCCTACAAAGACAAGAATCCCTCCCAACTCGCCTTCATTTCTAAGGCGAACCTTCTTTCTTTCAGCCTCCTGGAAAGATTGACTTGTAAAAGTATGATCTATACTAATACACTCTCCACCTCCCCACCCATGAACCAATTTTTCTCGCTTAAAGGGAAGCATGAGGTGCTGCTCAGGGTCATCCCAAGACATGTAGCTGCCCGAGGCAAAGAAATAGGGCCCCAATCACGATCTATACAAATTGGGTCACCAAACGAACCTTTCCTCTACGCTTTTATCGCCCTTGAAGGCAGCAGAATAGCTGGAAGAGGGATATCGCAGGGATGCATCTACACTAATGCAGCTGGACACCACTTCAATTGCCATGGCTCCATCCGACAGAATCCTGGGATTTGTCCTCTGGTGGGCTACCTTATATTTGGCAGAGAAGGCTAAATGTCTTGTAAAACTACAACTCCCAGGATTCCATGGGCTGGAGCTACACCACCTAAAGTGGTATCAGATTGCTTTATTTCTACAGTGTAGATCAGACCTGCACAACTTGGCAGTAGGTAGAGGCCCAGATTAAACAGCCTGGGATTTGTAATTTTGGGATTTGTAATTTTGTGAAGCAATTTTGGGATTTGTAATTTTGTGAGGCAACAACAAACTTTGGCCGAAAAGGCCCGAGACCTTGTAAAATTACAGATCCCAGGGTACCATAGGCTGGAGCTACAGCACTTAAAATTGGCATCAAAGTGTATTATTTCTACAGTGTAGATGCACCCGTACCCTTCTTGCTCCTTTCTGCCATCTCTGAGTACCCTGACATCTCACGACACTTTGCTCACTGATGGTTCCCAAAGGATCACGGCTGATTCTAGGTACCTACTGGGATCCTCAGGCGATCTGGCAAGGGACAAGCCCT